AGTCTCAAACTACCTCTTGTGGTCTTTCTTGTTGTTTGTTAACAAAACAACAAACAAACTGAAGAAATGGGAAGAACGTTGATATCAAATGAATAATGATCCTCATTCATCCCAATATTTTTTGTGAAATCTAGGTCTTTTAGTCTCAAACTACCTCTTGTGGTCTTTCTTTTACGTATTGTGTTATGACGTTTTGTGAAAAATCTGTAGGTGATTGAGAAAAATGGATACATTTTTGGATTCAGCATACAGAAAGTACTGTAGAACATGGAAAAATTTCAAGACAATACAAACACTACAGGCCTGTGTTATTCATCATAAAAACCTCAGCTATCTAACCTTTTCACATCTGCTTCCATTTAATTTTATTTCTTTACAAAGACACTTAGACCATGATAAGCAATTAACCACAGCAGAACTGAGTGAAAACAACTGATAAAGTTATGATCAAATTATGCAGTGTTCTTATGAACATTTTTTGTTTACTTTTGATATCTAAACTAACACGTTTCTAATTTTTACATTTTAATTGATTTACTTAGAGAATGTATAACAATAAATAAGAAATATATGTAAAAGAACAAAAGAGTTTAGACTTACATTAGAACTAAGGTCTATTTCAGAAATTTATACTAGACAGCATATTTCCTTAGTGCTCATTTTTTCATATTATGTTGGTTCTTCACAAAATCATTAATGTTGCTTTCAAATATGCATTTAAGAACATAAAAAAATACATCAGACACTAGAACAGAATGTTTCGAAACTACAGTAACTTAACTGGCTATCTAAGTTATAAATAGGTTCAAAAAGTAGGTTAGCTGATCAGAGCAGAAAAAAAACATGACTGCAAACAATGAAACTGAGGCCAAATATATACCTACAAGCACCAAAATGAAACAATGGTATAGCAAATTTCATAAAGAAAAAGCTATACTTTCTATTGGTTATAAATAATCCAAGAATAACAATACTACCATTTTTTGAAAGACAGGATGACATGGGAGGGACTTGTCATGCAGGTTTCACCTTTTGTTTAATATCTTCATACAGGGACTTGGTCATGCAGGTATCACATTTTGTTTAATATCTTCATACAGGGACTTGGTCATGCAGGTTTCACATTTTGTTTTATATCTCAGTACAGGGACTTGTCATGCAGGTTTCACATTTTGTTTTATATCTCAGTACAGGGACTTGTCATGCAGGTACCACCCTTTTTTGTGCTGTTTAAAACTTTTCCTCACCATTTCATTTATATCCGTTACTGTATTTGTGCTGTTTAAAACTTTTCCTCACCATTTCATTTATATCCGTTACTGTATTTGTGCTGTTTAAAACTTTTCCTCACCATTTCATTTATATCCGTTACTGTATTTATGCTGTTTAAAACTTCTCCTCACCATTTCATTTATATCTATTACTGTAATTGTGCTGTTTAAAACTTTTCCTCGCCATTTCATTTATATACGTTTCTGTATTTGTGAAATGTTACGGATACAGAAAATTATTCTCTTTTAGTCTCCAATTAAATAGAGGCTTGATCTTTAGTATGGTAGAGATAACTCTGAGGCCAATTGTACATGGGTCTTATTATCAAGATCAGAGTTGTAAGTTGTCTCTTTAAATCTAATAGAATTAAATTTAAGAAAGAAATATTAAATTTCATTTTAAAAATTGTTAAAGGCCAGATGGAACACAGAATTGACCAACTTCAGTGCTGAGGTGAAACAGCTCCATATTGAAGCAGGTGAGTCAGAAGCACGCAACAGAGAGTTTGTGAAAACTTTGAAATCAGAACTAGATAATGTACGCTCCAAATATGAAGCAACTAAGAAAGTGATTGGTAGACTGGATGCCGAAAAACAAGAAAAGGAAAAGCTCTGCAATAGGTAAGTTTGCGGAAGGACACGGTTTCTATAGTTATTGCACTCATAAGTGGAAATAAAGTTGTATTTTGTAGCAAATGCTTTTATGATTTATGAAGTTTATTATTTAACTTTCAATAATATCCAAGTTTTAATAAGTTAATTTCAAGAACAAATTGAAAAAAATTATCTGTCTTTACTTCTCTATGTCACATGATGCATCTGCCCATTTCTTTTTCTTTTTTTCTACCTTTATATGATTTTCTGAATGTAGACTTAGAACCTCCAATTTTCTTGATTTACTGAGATATAAAACAAAATGTGAAACCTGCATAACAAGTCCCTGTACTCAGATATAAAACAAAATGTGAAATCTGCATGACAAGTCCCTGTACTCAGATATAAAATAAAATGTGAAACCTGCATAACAAGTCCCTGTACTGAGATATAAAACAAAATGTGAAACCTGCATGACAAGTCCCTGTACTCAGATATAAAATAATTACTGTATTTGTGCTGTTTAAAATTTTTCCTCACCATTTCATTTATATCTGTTACTGTATTTGTGATGTTTAAAACTTCTCCTCACCATTTCATTTATATCTGCTACTGTATTTGTGCTGTTTAAAACTTCTCCTCACCATTTCATTTATATCCATTACTGTATTTGTGCTGTTTAAAACTTTTCCTCACCATTTCATTTATATCCGTTACTGTAGGATATAAATGAAATGGTGAGGAAAAGTTTTAAACAGCACAAATACAATAATGGATATAAATGAAATGGTGAGGAAAAGTTTTAAACAGCACAAATACAGTAACGGATATAAGTGAAATGGTGAGGAAAAGTTTTAAACAGCACAAATACAGTAATGGATATAAATGAAATGGTGAGGAAAAGTTTTAAACAGATATTTAAAGGAATACCACCCCTTTTGCATGGGAAAATGAACTATACCAGAGTAGTCACAAGTTGATAATTACAAAGTGATTGGTTGTCATATAACCAATCATAAAGTGGCATACATATATAAATTTCATAACCACACAGGCAATCATATTCTGTTCCCAAACTTGTAACAAGACATGACAAGTGTGTAGAAATAAAGCTTTTAGCTGGTCAAGAATACTTCATGGAAAAAATTATGGCAAGACTCCACGTTTAATGAGGTAGATAAAACGAAAAGTGATGTCGTGTATCTAAAAAGAGTGTCTTATGAGAAAGATGATAGTTAAGTAGAGATCCTGCCAACAAATTTGCTAAAAATACACTTGCAAACATTACTTTAACAACAATACGATATACATTGGTACAAAGTGATCTCAATGACTGTTTAGTTACTTGAAAACTACTACTGAAGAGGTAACCATACCAAAATATTGAAATTAGGTTTGGACCATAAACAGCGAAATGAGGAAAGCTGGTGAGTTGTGCTCTTTACAGATGAATCTTGGTTCCAATTGTTTAGCAGCAACCAATGGCAGTTTGTTTGACAGCAGAGAAATTAATGTACTACTTTAATGAAGCTTGGTGGGGGATCAGTAGGAAATAAAATAACATTTCTGGTATTTAAAAAATGTTATACAGTGATAGACATGATAAGACAAATGTATAAATAATTTGTAAGGCTTCTTTATGGAAGCATATTATGCTAATATAATACTAAATTAAAACATGGAGTATATTCCCAAAAAATAAAAACATTTCATTATGCTCATAAATCACTGTTTGTAAATTTATTATAATATCGATCAAATAAAGGTTAATTGATGAAAATAAAATGTTAAGAAATTCCTTGGCATTGTTAACATATAATTTTAAATTTCATGATGACAGGTCTAGTCATTATTGAGACATACCATTTTAAGTTAGTGCAGTTGCTGGAG